TTATGACCCCCGCGCACGACGCGTAAGCGGGAGTCATATTGTTTTTGTACCTTTTTTTTGTTTTTTGTTTTTTTTTTTCAGTGATTTTTGGTCAACCGTAGCACAAAAACGGCTGCACCGATCAACATGAAATTTGGCAGGACTGTAGATGAGTCCGACCTACACTGCGCCAGCCAACAGTTTTACGATAGGCCCTATATTTGAGGAGGAAGCTCCTTTCAAAGAGGGGGTGTCTGGACATGCAAAAATGCTTATAACTCAGAAATTGTTCAATATAAAAGCTTGAGATTTCTTTTGTTGTTTAGCTCTGATGAAGCTCTATCCTTCAGGCCCACCAATCAGTGCCACCACCCCACCGGACCCCCAATTTTTCTGAAAAAGGGGTATCTGGACATACAAAAATGGTTGTTGCTCAAAAACTYTTAAACAAAGGAGCTTCAGATTTCTTTAGTTCTTTAGCTCTGATGAAGCTCTATCCATCAGGCCCACCAATCAGTGCCCACCCCGCCAAAAAAAGACCCCCGACCCAAACCACTACAATTTTGGGATGCATTTGGTAGCATGACATTTATTAGGAATAAAGACTTCTGAGTCCTGGTGCATTTGTGCGTGCGGGGGTCATTATGTTACCGCTATGCGGTATCTAGTTAATAGGCAGCTTTCTTTGTCCTGCCAGTTGAACAGCTGTGCTCAACTCATACTGTGAAAACTTAGTCACTTCTCAGAATGATGCTAATGAGTAAATAAGCCGTGCTTCAAGCTGTTTTTTTTTTATTACTCATGGATTTGTGTTTTTGTTTCGGTCTCAGAGTCCTTAAAGAAGAATTACCACTCATTGTTCTGCCGGAACAACCCTGTCTTTGTTCACCTTTAATCCCAATTTGCCTCCTTTTTTTGTCTTCAGTTTCTACACACATAGCCAGCTGTAAGAAGGCTGCTCCTCCACCAGTGCCTCCGCGCACCACCTCTAAGCCCTACATCTCGGTGACGGTACAGAGCAGCACAGAGTCGGCGCAGGACAACTACTTGGACCAGCAGGACAGGAGGTCGGAGGTCAACAGCCAGTCGAGCCACGCTCACAGCAACTCGTCCGACAGCCTGGACAGCACCCGCGCTAACAGCCTGGCCCGAGGCATTCCCCGTCCCCCGCACATCATWCCCATTCCCATCGCTACCCCGAGGGACCCTATCACCCCCAGCACCGCCAACGCTTCCACCGAGACAAGTGACTCAGTCGTCCAAAATGAGTCTGTGAAATCAGGATCGAATAACAGGAATCTAGTGGCAGAAGAGCCTTTTGTAGCCCCGGTGCAGAGAAGGAAACTGTCTTCCATCGGGATACAGGTAAGCAGAGGCTGTTTGCCTCTCTGTCACTATTCAAGGCTAGTATTATTCACTCAACAGCATCTTCCTTCAGTTGTTTTAGATTTCTTTCATAAAGACAAAGGTGACGTTAACATATGAATAAATGGTAATTAATGCTTCATAGAACTAGTTAACAGACTTTATCATGTTATTTTTTATGCTTGTTAGGGAATGACTACAATAATATCAAAGAAATCCATACATTTGAATTCACTACGCTAGACCTGACAATGAAGGTTTTTAATGATAGCAAACACAACACATCTGTTGGCATCAAAGGAAATATTATTTTGGTTTTTGTATCAATAAAATCATATTTATTGCAGAAAATACTTGAATTTAAAAAGTGTTTGTTTTACAAGCACAGCTCGTATTTCTTTATTATTTCAAAATGTGTGTCTGAAAAATCTATATATTTCAGCAGGCGCCGCCTCTTTGCATTCACTTAACAGCATTAAAAGGTAGTAGTTACAATCTTAAAATGTGCTGCAGGCTTATTTACTGTAAAACACTTTCATTCGTCCTCTCTGACTACAGCACCATGTACGTATTACTTAAGATGACTATGGTACTAATACATTTGGTTCTGTCTTTACTGAAATAACAGTATTATTTTTTTCTCCATTCTGGACATTAAGTAAAATGTCTTTAAATCTGTCTTTGTCTTAATAAAGTTTCCTTTTTTTTAACCTAACATTGGCTTTTTTTTGTCCATTTTCTGTTCCTTTTAAGGTTGACTGTATTCAGGAAGTTCCCAGGGAAGAGACTCCACCACTGACCAGGTTTCAGTCAATAGGAGTACAGGTGGAGGACGGGTGGCAGTAAGTCCTCTTCCTGTCCTTTTAACAACGTGAGGAATTTATATTATAGCCACACACATTCCTCTGTTCCGTCCTTTCTTGGGACCTTTTGTAGATGTGAAATCATCTTGAGTGTATTTGTGTGTCGTGTTCATGGTGTTGAAGCACATTCTTGCCACAAGCAGTTACCGTTTAAAGTTCCCCTCCAGACATTTCAATAATTCTAACTACTATTCATTAAAGCGTGTTAGTTTACTGAAAAGTTCAGTTACTTTGATTGAAACCTAGACCTAAAAAAAGAACAGGTTTTCATTTCAATTTCACCTTTGGTTTGTTTTCTGCATCACCGTCTATTCAGATTTCCACAACATTAAACAACATGTCAGGAAAAATCTCATGCAGTATTGTTAGGTTTAAAGCAGTTGGTCTTTATCCACACAGATCCACACACTTTTTAGAGTGGAGGGAGACTTTAAATCTGTTTCTGCTTATTGTTGCCGCCCGGTGTCTTTCTGTATGGTACACTTGTGTTCTTATTGATGCTGTACATTGGAGCTACTTCTGTTTTATTAGTTTGGGTTTAAATATCAAAATAGTGGTCCATCAGAAACCTTACCAGTCTTATGTGATTGTGGTATTTTGCTGATGTGTGTTTTCTGACTGGTAACTTATTATAGTTGTTCACGTTCACAAAACGCTCCAATAATGCAACACTACTTTTGAGGAAATGGTAATTCTAATCATCACCAGTCAGCTCGCAAATCAAGTTGCAGTTTTGGTTTCTTCAAGCTTTTGAGATTCTTAATTTGTTTAAGATTTTTATTTATTTATTTATTTATTTATTTATTTATT